TAGCTCTGTCTCAACCCGCTTGAGTCTTGAGAGCCCCCCCATCCCTTGGAATATACACTCAGCTAGGTGACCTGGATTTAAATCTTAACTACCACAGCCCAGCCAAGTGATGTTGGACAAATCATTATACTCACAGAGCTTCAGTTCATTTGTAAAGCGAGGAGTAACTATTTGCTGAGTATCCTACTTCACGCGATACCGAGTGAACAAGCCAGGAGTGTAGTCCCTGTCCTCATGAAACAACTAGAAGAAACATTAAACATTGCCCAAATAATTGCTTAATTATAGCTATGAAAGGTACTGTGAAATAAGTGAAAGCACAGTCCGCAAGGAGGGTGTAAGATGGAGGGGACCAAAGCAATTCTCAAGGGTCAAGGGCAGTGTCCCTTGGGGAAGAAAATTGTAAATTGAGACCCTACAAGTGAGAAGGTGTTAGACAAGTGAAGGGGTGGAGGTGGAAGGTTGTCCAGGCAAGGGAAACAATTTGTGCAAGGGCCGTTGCCATGAAAGAGCTTGAATGTTGGCAAACTGAAAGAAAGCCAGGGTGGAGGGGAGTGATCCAGGGAGGATGTGGTACACGGTGAGGCTGGAGAGATGCAGGGGTAAGGAACTGAAGGGCACAAAAATAATCTGGGCTAATCAGAAGGGAAGGGGGAAGTCAGTGATAGATTTTAAGTAGGAAAAACATGATTTTTGTACAGATAATGTAATCATGATCTTTATAAAGAATAGGTTCTTGGGGGAAAGATGGTAGTAAGGGGAAGGGTTAGGAGGCTCTGGCAGTGAAGGCAAGAAGTGGAGCAGAATGGGAGGAGAGATGGAGAGAAGCACATGGGTTGAAAGGTGATGGTCAGGGTTTGGTGACTGGATGTGGGAAGGCCTGGAAGGGATAGGATGCTGTCAGGATAATTCTCAGACTTGCAGGGAGAACAGCTGGGTAGGTGCACGTGCATTTACTGATGACAGCCTTGGAGGAGCAAAGAAGTTGGAAGAATGTCAGTTTGGGACATATTAAGTCACCCACATGGAGGTGTCAGTGAGGAAGGTATGCAAATGTGTAGCTCAGAGGAGGGTACTGTGCTAGAGGATTTGGGGATTAGTGACATAGAGTTGGTTCATAAAGATGTGGGCCCAGATTAGAGATGGGGTGCAGAGCAAGGAGAAAGGAAGAACAGCTTTGAGCCTGAGCTTTCCTGCTGGCAGAAGAGAGGGGGACAGGGAAGGGAGCCCAGGAAGAGATGGTTGGAGAAAGAGAGTGTGATGCCTCAGAAGCCAACACTGATACTGCTTGAAAAGGCAAATATTAGGTGAAACCATAAGAAATAGCCTTTTCTCTCTTTTTCTTCTTTCCTTCTTTTCCTCCTTCCCTCTGTCCCTTCCTTCCTTCCTGTAGAACAAAACCAGGCCGTATTGGCACGCTTATATAGTTCAACCTAATTAGACCAAAACCTAAAAAAGTAACTCATGACCTTGGACTGAGAAATTTTGGTAGAGATATTGGAGCAGAAGCCAGATGAGCTGGGGAGAATGTATAGAAAGGAGACTAATAAGGGAATAGAATCGACAGGATTGGATTGGCTGAGTGCAGAGATGGGGTTGAAAGAGGGTGAAATCAAGGGTAATTCCAAAGTTTCAGGTTTGGCTGCTGAGTGAGTGGTCGGGTGAAATAGGAGGGGGCATGTACACCGATCATGAAAATATTATGACTGTAGGGTAGGTGGAATTTGAGATACCTCTGAGACTTCTGAGTGGGATGATGAGCTGACATTTGGACCTGTGGGAGTGGAGCCATTCATTACCATCTTTGTGTTCCTGACTCCCACATATAGACCGTTGAGAGTCAAAAGCATGTAGATAGGAATGAGATAGGCCAATGAGTATTTATTGAACATCTACTAAGTACAAGCATTTTGGTGCTGGGGTTACACCAATGAATAAGATAAAGTCCCCCTGCACTTTAGAGCTTACAGTCTATGAGGGAGGTGAGACAATAGGCAAACATAAAATAACATTAAGCTGTAGTAAGTACTATATAGAAAATAAAGCAGGGTAAGAGATTAGGAGTATAAGAAATACCTATTTTTGGTAGGTTAGTCAGGGAAGGTCTCTCTCAGAAGGAAACATTTGAGCAGAGCATAAGAGGAGGTGAGGGGATGAACCATGTGGATATTGGAGAAGACAGGAAGAAGCTGGGGAAGTTTGAGGACTAGCAAAGAGACTGGTGAGGCAGGAGTGGAATGAGTGATGAGGGTGGAGAGGCAGGCAAAGGCCAGATCTTGTAGGGCTCCATTGGCTTTGGGAAGAAGGATGGAAAGTGCCTTGTAGATAGCTCCAAGCTGCTGGATTGGGCAGGAAGAGAGAATTTCTGAAAGACTTCCCCTTCCATCAGAGCCCCATATCCAGAAAAGCCCCTTTGTGCAGTGGGTGGGCGGCCCATTCTGGCCGAGGGAAGGCTGTGCTTGGTCCTGAGGCCTGCTTCTTGGGGTGGCTGGACAATGGGCCCCTTGTGGTTGAACCTGAGGGCCAAGTGACCCTCTCAATGATGGGATTCCTCAGCCAGGAGGCATGTGACCCCAAGACCTTGGCTTCTTGCCAGAGGGTCTGGGCCTGCTGCTTGCGAATGGGGTGGCGGCGAGATGGGAGAGGTTGGGGGAAGGGAGAGGGGACCACTGTGGAGGCCTTCTCCTGAGACAGGACAGAGCCCTCTCAGGCTAAAGGAGGTGGAAAGATGGGCAGGGAGGGGGCTGTAGCTCTGCTTGAAGGAGCAGGGGAAGGCTGCAGAGTTGGAAGCTATGGACAACATCAACAAGTGTTTTCCACAGCAGGACACAAGGGAGGAACTGGCTGCCCCTGGGCCTTAGTGGGTAGGGGCAGACAGAAGAGGGCCTGACAAACCTACATCTTCTCTCCTTCCAGAAGAGGAGAGAGCATGGAGCTGGAGAGGATTGTCAGTGCAGCCCTCCTTGCCTTCGTCCAGACGCACCTCCCAGAGGCTGACCTCAGGTAGAAGCAGCTCTCCTAGAAAGATCATGCTAGTGTCAGGGTTGGAGCTGATAGGCAGCATATGGGGCCCTGGGCAGACTAATGTGGGAAGCCCTCAGTTCTAATCCTAAGGTGGAAAAGAGCTGATTCTGATTTGCTGGTATGGCCTTACATCTTAACCTGTCTCTGTCACCTTGCTGGACAGATGGGAAACCAAAGCTCTGTGGCAGGGTGGGTTACTTTCTGGCTTCAAGGCTTGAAGTCTGGCTCATTGACCCAGTGAAGCTGAGAACTTGAGTCTCAGGCTAAGTGGGGGTGCTGGAAGTACTGGTGTCCTACCCAGGGCTTGTTTTGTCCCCTTCCTGCAGCGGCTTGGATGAGGTCATCTTCTCCTATGTGCTTGGGGTCCTGGAGGATCTGGGCCCCTCTGGACCATCAGAAGAGAACTTCGATATGGAGGCTTTCACTGAGATGATGGAGGCCTATGTGCCTGGCTTTGCTCACATCCCAAGGTGGGAGCTGGCTGGGGGGCAAAGAGGGGGTGGAGGACTGGCTGATTGTGGAAGGTGGGCAGAGTTGTCCTCTTAATCACTTTGTCTTTTCAGGGGTACAATAGGGGACATGATGCAGAAGCTCTCAGGGCAGTTGAGTGGTGCCAGGAACAAAGGTGAGTTTGGGGACTGGGCACTTGGATGATTCATAACACCCACCCCCCAAAGCCCTGGCAAACCTGATACTCAATCTGCTTCCTTAAGAGAACCTGCAACCACAGGGCTCTGAGGTCCAAGGTCAGGTACCCATCTCCCCAGAGCCCCTGCAACGGCCTGAAAAGCTCAAAGAAGAGACTAGGGCTTCTACTGCTGCTGGAGACACCCAGGATGAGGTACTGGTAGAGGAGGGTACTGGTGAGAGAGTTAGGGGCCAGGAAAGAAGGAAGTACTGCTTCTTGTCAACATCTATGCCCACAGGCAGCTGGTGCTCAGGAGGAGCTGCTGCCGGGGGTGGATGTACTCCTGGAGGTGTTCCCTACCTGTTCAGTGGAGCAGGCCCAGTGGGTGCTGGCCAAAGCTCGAGGAGATTTGGAAGAAGCCGTGCAGATGCTTGTAGAGGGGAAGGAGGAGGGGCCTCCAGCCTGGGATGGCCCCAACCAGGTATCCTCTGCGAGACATCCCCCTCAACCCAAATCACCTTTTCCACCTTAGTGTTAAGCCCCTGCCCCTAGCCTATCCCTGTCTGCTTCTGCTGGTGCCCTAGGGTTTAGACTAGGCTTCCCTTCTCTGCAGGACCTGCCCAGGCGACTCAGAGGCCCCCAAAAGGATGAACTGAAGTCCTTCATCCTGCAGAAGTGAGTCTGGGCTGGGCTGGGCTAGACCCTTAGAGGGTCTTCCCAGGGTGGCAGGAGCTTCACCCAGCCAGTTTTTGGCAGGTACATGATGGTGGATAGTGCAGAGGATCAGAAGATTCATCGGCCCATGGCTCCCAGGGAGGTGAGAGGGTTATGGCTGCTAGAGGTGTGGAGCGGGTGGACTGTTACCTGGTTTCTGCTGCTCACTACCCAATTGCCTGACAGGCCCCCAAGAAGCTGATCCGGTACATCGACAACCAAGTAGTAAGCACCAAAGGGGAGCGATTCAAAGATGTGCGGAATCCTGAGGCCGAGGAGATGAAGGCCACATACATCAACCTCAAGCCAGCCAGAAAGTACCGCTTCCACTAAGGCATTCACCAGACTCTGCCGGAGCCTTCTAGGCTCAGATCCCAGAGGGATGCAGGAGCCCTACACCCCCCACACAGGGCCCGCCCTAACTCCTGTCCCCCTTCTCCACTCTGCTTTCCAATTTCTTGCCCCACAGTGTTGACCTCCTCTTGGAGCTGCCCACGGGCATAGTAAAGGTGGCCCCAGGAAGGTGTGAGTGCATTCTGGTCATTTCTGCTCAGAACTGGGGTGCTGGGGTACTGTGTCTGACTTGTCTCCCAGTTTCATATCCCTTATCTCCAACAGGGCAGCAGCGCCAGGCAAGAGGGGGTAAAAAGCTCTTTATTTGAAGCTCCAGGGTGGGGCAGGGCATCCACCTCTATCCAGAGGCTCCCACGGTCCAGTTTCCCTATAGTTCATAGTCAGGCCCCGCCACGCAGTCCAGCTGTGCCCCATTCGCAGGCAAGTCAGACCTGCAGGTTGACAAAGGGTGCAAAGCCTGCCATGTCCTGCAGCAGCACCAGGGCCTGATGCAGCGGCGGCTCCACGTCGATGTCCACGCCGCGCTTCCGCAAGCGGCTCAGGCTGGGCTCGGCCACATGGTGGCAGTGCCGCACCCGCAGCGAGCGCAGGGCCGGGCAGTACTCGGCCAAAGTCCTGGGGGAGGAGCCGGGTGAGGCTAGGGGCCAGGAGCCGCCTCGCCCGCGGTGGGGGAGCCAGCCAAGCCCCTGTCTCCCTCAAACTCAGCATACTTTTTCCCTCCATAAACGAGGGAGGGGGCCAAATGGAGTCATACATTCAATGTCTCCCGTGAAACCGAGACTTCCTCCTGCCTCTTAAAGGGGAGAACTGCTCCTCAGCTCCGCCCAGGATTTCAAGGTTTTCCTCTTGTTGAAGAAAAGCCAGAAATCTGACTGTGAAATCTGCCAATGTGTAAATACTGGTTCAAAAGTTGTTTTTTTGTTTGTTTGTTTTGTTTTTGTTTTACTATGGGCTCTATGGACTAGGCAATCTTAGAGGCCTTTCCTGGTCTGAATGGGGGTGCCGTGGTAGCAGAGAAATCCAGACACCACAGTTTTGCCTTTCGACAGCTACAGCCCGCCCCTAACCCAGAAGTTAAGTGATTGTTTTCTTCCCAACCCACCGATCCCATGCCATGCCCAGGCACCTGACGCCGTCGCTCCCGACGCGGAGGCAGCCGGTTAGGTCGAGGTGCTCGAGTTCCGGGCAGTTCCGAGCCAACTCCTGGACGGCGGCGTCCCCCACATTGGCGTTGACTGCCAGCGAGAGGCTGCGGAGGCCCGCGCCGCGCCTCTGCGCCAGGTATACGATGGCCTCATCCTTGAGCTGACGGCAGGCGGTGAGGTCCAGCTCCTCAAGCGCCGGACAGCGGTCGGCGAGGCCGCGCAGCGCCAGGCCATCTACCCAGTCACAGTGCGCGAGCGAAAGGCGCTGCAGGCGGGGGCAGCCCTCCGCCAGCGCCCCCAGCGCGCGGCGGCTCAGTTGCCCGCAGCCGGCCAGCGCCACGCTCCGCAGCTGTGGATTCCGCGTCAGCACCGGCACCAGATCCTCGTCCGACAGCCATTCGTGACACGGCGCCAGCGCCAGCTCCTGCAGCCCCTCAGCGTCCCGCAGCAGCCAGGCCAAGGCGGCCCGCGGGATCTGCGGTCCCACCTGCGGGCAGGGAGGCACCTCGACTCTCAGCTGGTCCCGGGGGCGGGGCGGGTGCCGCCTCTCCGCACCTGAAGCGTTCTTTCCCGGGGCAACCCGCCCTCGGGGCTTGCCATCTGCTCTCCCAGGAGAGATCCCAAGTGCCTACAGAGTTGATACCCGGTACTGCCCTTTGAGAGTACTTCCCGCAGGGGGGCTCGCTTCCCGGGCATTCCTGTAGGCCCGGGAGGACGGGTAAGGGTAGACAGCTGGGCTGGGGGCTGGGCTGGAGGCGGGGCGGGGGCGGTACCCAGACGAGGCGGGGCTCTGGCCCCCGGCTCACCTGAGCGGCGTCGAAGCGGCGCAGCCCGGCCAGGTGCAGCTGCACTAGCGCCCGGAAGGCCCGGCTGACGCGCTGCAGCCGGAGCAGCTGGCGCAGCGGCACCCGGCTCAGGATGTGTGGGAGCAGCACGTCTTCCCAAGGCAGGTCCAGGAGCCTGCGGGTAAAGGGGCGGTGGCGGTGGCGTCCCGGGCCGCTATCACCTGCGAGTCCGCCTCGGTTATGTTTCTGCGCCCGGGCTCCTAAGAACGGCCCCCAGACACGGCCCAATTCAGCTCCCCTCCCCTTGGTCCTTCTTCCCTTTCTCGGCCCCTCCGGTGCTCGGTACCTGACGGCTCCCGGCTCTTGCTCCCCTCCGGACGGCTCCATCGGTGGCTCCATCGGCTGCCTATTGCGCGTGCGCAGTAAGGTCTTCTCGCTTTGGCCGTGGAGCGGCCTCAGCGAATCCGCCTCCTTGGGCTGCAGAGACAGACCGATTCAATCGAGTGCGGTCTCACTGAGGATCCTATCTGAAAGCGTTCCGGATGGATCTCGAAACTGAGAGCGGAACAGACAGATGGCGTAACATCAGATCTCGCTTTCTCGGCTACAGGGCTTGAGAACTGAAGCTGGAGAACGCGATGGTGCAGAAGAGACTGGCTGTTTTTTCGTCTTGGGCCAGGGGCCGCCTCTGAGTGAAGTGGTGATGGGAGGAGCAGGCAAAGCCAAACGCAGAAGGGGCGGAGCCAAGACTCCAAGGTTCTGGGCCTACCCTCTGCCCTCTGATCGCGCTTAGCGACTTTGAAAAATGGGGAGAAACTATCCAGGCTTTTACTCTCTGGCACGTAGTAGGTGCCCAATAATTGTTGAATGAATCGAATGGGCGAAGCTAGAAGTATTCTTCCTTCATCAAGCAAACTTACCCAAACCTCTCATTCCTGGTTAGTTGTGAAGTACAGAGCTGTCCAGCCCCGTCCACTCCCAGAAGATTTGGAATGGGTTTGCACCTCGAGGGGAGAGACATAGAAGGAGCTAAGAAGGACTGTCTCTCCAGCTGGGTCCTTATCTTCTCCCCAGGAGGTCTAGAGTCCTGAGAAGAATGAGTGCTCAACCCAGCCCACCAGGACTACCACTCCTCGGTTGACCTGGGGATTTAGTTGTGGGATTTGGGGCTGGGCCCGCTCTGGGGCAGGGATGTGCCACAACTCTAAGCTCAGACTCTGGGCGGCCCTCTCACCGCGTCCGCAGTTCCTGGTTCCGGGGTCCGCTCTGGGGACCCGAGCAGTGCTTTCCCCATCATCCATTGGTGGGGAGGGTGTGAAGGACGCTGAGGGTTACTGCTGTCGCCGAGAGCTGCCCCCTAGCAGGGCTGCGCTCTCCCTTCGTGCAGCCGCTTCTTCATCTCCCTCTGCATCACGAAAACGCTTCCCATCCATTATTTCATCAGGGCTTCGGGCACTTCTGCAAGGTGAGCAGCTCTGTGCTGTTGCTCCATTTTAAAGATGGAACCGAGGCCCTGGAGAGGACGCGTCTTGTCCAGGGTCAAGCGAGTTGCGATAGAAAAGTCAGGCATCCTAGTTTTCCCAGAATCCCTTCCACCCTCCCCCACCCCCCAATGCAGCAAGAAGGGAGAAGCCAGCAGCAGGGAAGGACCAAAGAGAGTTAATTTGGGTGAGGGGCTTGCTTCCTCTTCCTTAGCCTGCTTGGGGAGGGGGTAGGTGGGAGAACCGACCTCCGCTAAGATAGAGCCTTGTAGGCGCGCACCACCTCGGGACGCGCGCCTCCTCCTCCTCCTCGCTTTGTTCGCGCCTCTGCGCCTGCGCAGTGCGACAAATCTGGCGCTGTCCCCTTCAGCACCACGCGGAGCCCGCGCCGCCCCTCCCCGCGGTGAGCCCCGCGCGCCCCCGCCGCGCACGTCCTCGCGCCCCCTGACTGCCAGAACGGACCCCTTCTTCCGAGGTCACCACCTGCATGCCCTGGCGTACCCAAGGAGAGCAGTTGCCATCGTAACTCTGGCAGTGCTTTCCTAAAATAGCTGGGCCCCCTTCTACCTTGGCCAAGGGCACAAGGGTTGCCTGCTCCCCACTTCCTCCACTCCTGGCGTCATCCCGTCTAACATTTTGCCCTCAGATAGGCAGTACACCTAACTCAGACAGCAAGGAAGTTCTTTCTGACGTCTAACATCCCTCCTGCTGCATCCTGGGCGAGTGGTCAGGGTTGGGTCTCCTGGATCCTAAACGCAGAACCTCTTAGGGTTTGGTCTCTCCCCATATCTCTCTCCCATAAGTTGATGGTCTCCTGGATTTAGGGGGCGGGTCCGGTCTACACCCATACGGTGTGCTTGGCGCGGACGCGTGCTCGTGGGGGCGGGAGCGCGTGTGGCATGTAACAGGTCATGTGGCAACCTCCTAGGGACACGCGTGGGGTCTGGAGCGGGATACGCGAGTGCAGCTGGGTCCGGCGTGTGGCTCGGGGGGCGGTGGAGGCAAGGGACGACTGGGGTGGGGCACGTGAGGGTCTTGGGAACAGAACTGGGGGTTCCATACATCCTCCGCCTCGTCAGGGGCGGGTCTCAGGTTGGCGGGAGAGCCCTGCAGGGACCTAGCGTCGGGAAGGGGGGCCAGCCTCCCGGGCTCAAGGCCGGAAAAGGGCGGGGGGTGGGTGGGGGGGATTAGCTCTGCCGGAGCCGCGCGTAGGGGGGAGGGGGAGGGACTGAGAGGCAGGCGGGCCTGGAGCAAGCGGGAGCAAGCGGGAGCCGCGCTGCCTTCACAGCTGAGCTGGGCCCAGCCTCTTCCCCGCCTCTCCTCGGCCCCAGCTCCAGGCGAGCAGCGGTGAGTACTGAGGCAGCTCCTGTCGGAGCTGCAGTGGGGATGCCCTGGGCCCCCATTGAGCTTCAGAAACCTGCCCGGCAGGGTTGCTGCTCCTGACCTCTGCCCCTACCCTGCACTGCCACCAGGGGCCCCTTTACCCCTTTAAGGGTTGGACAAGATCTGTCATTCTTTTAAGAGGGAAGGAGAGACAGGGTCTGGTGCAGCCTTCCCACCCAGAGACAGGTGACTGGTGGGGGTTGGGGGAGAGGGTGTGTGTGTTCCTGCTTAAGTATGTGTGTGAGGTACATCTGTATTTTTGTGTGTGACTAGTAGGTCTCTGTGTCTGAATACGCCTGTGTCTGTGTGCACTGGAGAATGAGGGCCTGTGTGTATATTTGGGTGTCTCTTTGTGTGTTCTTGTTTGATGACAGTATGTGTATAAAATAAGCATGTGCCTTTCCATTACACACATATTTGTTATGACTGTGAGAGTGTATGAGGGTGTGTCTTTGGGCAATGTGTATGTGTGTGTATGTGTGTGTGCCTGGGTCCATGTGTGCTGGAGGTGTTGCCTAGGAATATGTTCAACTGTGTACTGATATTATTTGTCTCTGTGTGTGTGTGTGTATGTATGAGTGTGTATACCTGTATAGAGAACAAGAATGTCCCTTTCCCATTCAGCATGTATACATTAGGAGTAGAGGCCTCAGTTCTCCCCTTCACCATGTGCCTCTCAGCCCCTCATGATCCCTCTATAACATCCCCCTCCATCATCCTGCCTTTCCTTCTAGGAAGCCTAAGTTCTCTCTCACTGAGTAAGGGGCCTCCTTAAGAGAGACTCTGGGGTGGGGGGCATGGCTGTATGATGGTTAAGACTGACTGAGACTCCTGATCCAGAGGGTGGGCTACCAGCCTTCCCCCTCCTCCACCAGAAGTACCTCCAAAATGCTACAGGGACTCTGAACTCACTCAACTTCTGAAATAGCTTCCTTTTTCCTCCCAAGGTGATGCTCACAGCCCCCAGACAGAAGGAAGAGAGCCTGGGGCCCATTAGGGATACAATTCTTTTCTCCTCAGGCCTTCATGGAAGTAGCCCAAGTAGGAGGCCTGATCACTTCTAGCTAGGGGTGGGGTTAATGATGCCACATTCCTAGGATGGGCTAAGCCTCTGGCGCTTAGATGGCCCATCCAGCTTTCCCCTCTCTGTCTCTGCTCTCCTGCCCATCCACCTCCCCTGCAGCTCACCCTCTGCTCCCCTTCCTCTCTTGCAGGCCTGTCCGAAGAGCATGCTGCCCCCTCACTCCCCGCCTGGCCTCGCCATCCCTGCCCCCCCAGCCTGACCCCAGGCCCCAGCATGGCCCAGGGTGCCATGCGCTTCTGCTCGGAGGGCGACTGTGCCATCTCCCCACCACGATGCCCACGCCGCTGGCTCCCCGAAGGCCCAGTGCCACAAAGTCCCCCAGCCAGCATGTATGGCAGCACAGGCTCCCTGCTACGGCGGGTGGCAGGTCCTGGTCCCCGAGGCCGGGAACTGGGACGTGTGACAGCACCCTGTACACCCCTGCGTGGCCCCCCCTCACCCCGTGTTGCTCCCTCACCCTGGGCACCCTCTTCACCTACTGGGCAGCCCCCACCGGGGGCACAGAGCTCTGTGGTCATATTCCGCTTTGTGGAGAAGGCCAGTGTGAGGCCACTAAATGGGCTACCTGCTCCTGGAGGCTTGAGTCGGAGCTGGGACCTGGGTGGGGTCTCTCCTCCCAGGCCCACCCCAGCCCTGGGGCCTGGCTCCAACCGGAAGTTACGGCTAGAGGCATCCACATCAGACCCACTCCCAGCTGGTGGAGGCTCAGCTCTGCCTGACAGACAGGGCCTTATACATGGGCCAGCAGCCCAACCTCAGGTTGGGGCAGATGGCCTTTACTCCTCTCTCCCCAATGGGCTGGGGGGACCCTCTGAGCACCTGGCCAAGCTATTCCCAGGACCTGCTGACAGTGGACTCCTGAACCAGGTAAGTGACCTCCCTTGGGCCCCCTGGAACCCCAGAGCCCCAGCAAAGGGGCAAGGCTTGGCCCCTTGGCAGTTTTGGGCCTGTCTGCTGTTCATGCCAAATTCTTCTACTTCTCCTAAATCTGTCTCTTTCTTGCCCTCCATGTTTGTCCCTGCACCTTGGTACCTCTTTATCTGTCCCTGTGTGGTTTTCTTTCTGTGTTTCGGTCCTGTGTTCTTGTGTCTTTGTATGTATGGTTTTATCTCTGGGTGCTTGTGTCTTTCTCTCCTTCCCTGGCTTAGGGGGACACCTGGTCCTCCCCCCGGGAAGTCTCCTCTCATGCCCAGAGAATTGCTCGAGCCAAATGGGAATTCTTCTATGGCTCCCTGGACCCCCCAAGCTCAGGTAAGATCCTGGACTGAGGCAAAGGGAACAGGGCAGGGCCTTCTCCACAGCAGCTGAGGCACAGTAGGGAGCCTTCCTTTAAATCTCCCCGCAATCCTTTCCTGGGCTCATAAGTTGACTAATGAATCTCCAGGCCTCAAATTTCCCATTTGTGCTAGGATGGAGGGTCAGGGGGATCATGGCTGGGTTGGGCACCTGGAGGAAGCTAGATTGTGGAGAGAGGGGATGGCAGGATATCAAGGGTCATTCTATAAAGGACAAAAGAAGCTGGTCTCCCTCAGGCCCCTTGAAGTTATTTGACAACAATTTGACTTGAAACGAGCTTCACTGGCACCAAGAACAAGCTGAGTTTGTAGCAGGAAGAATGGTGGCTAGACAGTGAAAGAACTTCCTGCCAATAAGAGGCAGCAGGAAAGAGCTCCTTCCTAGAACAGAATCCAGACAGGGAGCTGAGCAGGATAACCTCCTGACCAGGATGCCTATGCACACTGCAGGTGCTAAGCCCCCAGAGCAGGCCCCCCCATCTCCACCTGGGGTGGGCTCAGGGCAGGGCTCTGGGGTGGCTGTGGGGCGAGCAGCCAAGTACTCCGAGACGGACCTGGACATGGTGCCCCTGAGGTGCTACCGCGAGACCGACATCGATGAGGTGCTGGCTGAGCGAGAGGAGGCTGACTCGGCCATCGAGAGTCAGCCCAGCTCTGAAGGCCCACCTGGCACTGCCCGCCCACCTGCCCCACGTCCCAGTCCACGCCTTGGCCCTTATCCCAGCCTGGGCAG